CCTGGGGACCTGTGTCCCTGATTGCACAGCTCTGACCTAGATGGAGAATCAGCTTCTCCTGGGATGACTCAGGATCGCCTTTGTCCTGATGTCTGCTCCCCAACAAGCCTCAGCTCCATTCCCTCTGCCTGAGAGAGGGGAAGGAGGAACTGAGTCTCTGCCACTCTCTCCAGCATGGTGTTGCTCTCCTCCAGCTTCTTCCCCTCTGCTTTTTCCTACCTCAGTTTTTTATGGCTCCATAGTAGCCAATCAGAGCCAGGGGGTTGCAATGGGGGCTCTGGTCACAGTTCAAATGCTTCAGTAAACCTGCTGCAAACTTTTTCCTGCCTTTCTAGCAAAGTTCTTCGGCACAGCTCACGTACTCAGCTTGCAGCCAAGCAAGCTTTTACAACTGTTACACAGTTTTGTCCAAAAATACGGGTGGGAGGGGGGAATAAATACTAACACTTCTAATGTAAAAAAATAGAAGGCCTTTTATGTGAATTATTCAGAAGATTTCAACCATCTGTAGCCTTAACCCTGGCTTGAAGGGAATTGCCTCAGAGGAATGAGAGCTGAATTCCTCCTTAGTCCTTATCCTCCCAGTTCCCACTGTGGCCTTCCACTGGAGAAATCAGCATTCCTCACCCATTTAAACACTGATGCTTCTGCTGATATTGCCTAGGAAAAGCTGTAGTAAATACTGATTTAGGATGGGTAGGTTTTGCAAGCCTATCTTTGTACCTATCTTTGAGGAACTGAAGTGAGAACTGTACCTCCTTTCATGATAACTCCTGAATAACAATCAGCTGGTAGAATCTGATTGCCTTTCTTATTAGAAATAATGACTTGCCAATAATTTTTTAGTCATATTACCTGTACTTTTCTGACTGTATATAGCTTCATAATTAGACATTATTAAACTGAATATTACTTTAAGTGATGCCTTATGAACTTTTGAATTTAAAAGCATGTCACCATATTAAAGTATTTCACTATAAATACAGACAGAAAGTGCCATTTGCTAATCATCTCTGTAATGATGGGGTCACATTATAAGACTGAATGTTACACTCATCCTGCATCTCTCTGCTGTAGCAAGAGGGGCAAGGATTCAAGTAGCAATAGGCTTTTTCCTGATAAGATTCTCAGCATTTGTTTAGATTAGGAATACTCCAAGTCAGATTTAAAAAAGGGAATTGAAGATCCCCAGCCAGGGGTTAGTCCTTAAGAACAGCTATCCCTTCATGCCAGACTACAAATACACTAATTTGCTGCTACTCTGTCACCAAAAAAGGGGTCTAACAGCCCAGGCTATGTGTGTGACAGATAGTTATCCTGTAACTTTCATTTTTAAAAATGTCAAAAGTCTGCTAAGATTGCAGCTTAATGCATTTTGAAGTCAGTAAATGCCGTTGCTAAGGTTGAGCCTTAATTGTGTTCTCTTATTTTCCTATGTATTAGGGTAAAGGCCAGCAGTTCCTAACCTTTGGGTTGTGACCCCATTTGGAGTTGGAATGATAAAAAATGGGGTCATGCATTCCCAGGGAGGGAGGTGGGAGAGAGGGTGCATATGAACCCCAGATTTGTGCATGGGGCTGGGGCAGATGCAGGCTGTTCGCTGTGGGTTCTGGGTTCTCCATCCTGCTGCTCTCCTCCTAGGGACCCCCATGGCAACACAGGGTAGGGAGGCTTAGTGCCACTGCCAGGTGCCCCTTGCCTGCGTGGCAACAGCAGAGTAGACAACTCTACACCACTTCTGCTACCAGAAGGGGTGCCTCGCCATGGTGGCGCAGCCAGCATGGGGCTCCCAGCAGCAGCACTGAGCCTCCCCGCCCTCCCATGCCAGGTCTCACCTGCTGGGCTGCGGAGGCCCCTGAAAGGAGGGCAGTTGAGGAGAGAGCCCTGAGTCTGAAGTAGGCAACCTGCATCCTCCTCCACTCTGGCCATACTCCAGCTGCAGTTGCAGCTGATGCCTCCTGTGGGTGGCAGCTGGGGCTTGGGTGCTTCTGGGGCAGCAAGGGGCCATGGGCCTGGGCATCTGGGGTCCCCCGCCAGCAGGGCTGGGGGGGCAAGGGGCTACAGCTAATGAGTGAGGGGCACCTAGAGGAGTAGGGGGCTGTGGGTGGGGAGTGAGGGGCCATGCTGAGGAAATGGGATCATAAATGAGGTCATGGTGAGGAAAAGGTTGGGAAGCAGTGGTATAGACCTCAGTCTTGGAAGCTCATGCTGATAAGGGGAAGACATCTGAAGATCAAAAGGAATGGAAGGGTTGTGAGCATTTGTATAAATTCAAAGAATTGAAGCCATAGTCTGAACTACGTGATCACACATTATAATTGTAATGTACCTTGTACTACAACAGAAAGGTCCCAACTGAGATTGGAACTCCACTGTGCAGGGTGCATACAGATGCATTGTAAGAGACCAGTTTCTATCCTGAGCAATAGATAAGAGAGTCAGCTGGTGGGAGTAACCAAAAGCACTCTGAGGAGAATTATTTGGGCAGTAAGTTATTTGCCATGCAATGTCACAGCTGGTAAAGCAAACAAAACTCTGACTTGCATCCATAGATGCTTCTCAAGTAAATCTCAGGATGTCATCCTCCCACTGTACTTGGCCTTGGTGAGGCCGCAGCTGGAATATTGCACCCAGTTCTGGGCTCCACAATTCAAGAATGATGTGGAAAAGCTTGAGAGAGTCCAGAGGAGAGCCACACGCATGATCAGAGGGCAAGAGATTAGGCCTTATGAAGAGAGGCTAAGAGCCATGGGACTCTTCAGCCTGGAAAAACGCAGGCTCAGGGGTGACCTGGTGGCTGCCTATAAGTACATAAGGGGTGTGCATCAGGATCTAGGGGAATGTCAGTTCACCAGAACGCCCCAAGGGATCAATGGTCATATACTCCTCCAAGACCATTTTAGACTGGACATAAGGAAAAACTTCTTTAATGTCCGAGCCCCCAAGATGTGGAATAGACTCCCTCCAGAAGTGGTGCAGGCACCTACTCTGGACTCATTCAAGGAATGTTTGGATGCTTATCTTGCTGGGATCCTTTGACCCTAGCTGACTTCCTTCCCCTGGGGCAGGGGGCTGGACTTGATCTTCAAGGTCCCTTCCAGGCCTAATTTCTATGACCTCCAAGTCAGCTTGCAAGAAACCAAAGCCCTGATCTTCTGGCTTCTTGGTTCCATGCCCTATTTACAAGCCAACACCTCTTTCATATGATGAATAAGTATCAAATACTAATCAGTAAGGAGGTCTTAATATGTTAATATTTAAATAATAAATTCTGGAAAAATCATTCATTAATGAAGTGACATCTTGCTCTCCTCCCAACTTTCAAATCAGGTCATCTTGCTGTCCTCCCCATTCCGCAGTTCTCCAGTGCGCGCACACAATTACAGCATGATTTAAGGAGCCAGTTTTTTTTCACACACTGCTAGTAGCAGTGAATGCTTTACATTATTTAAAAATTAGGCCAATCAGATTCATATAGTGCATAGTACTGGTTACCAGCTCTACCGGATGATCAAGATAGCAGTCTCTGCAATGGAAATGTGGGAAAAATAAGACACGTTAATTGGAACGAATCAGTTTAAGGGCTAAAATTAAATGCTGTGTATGACTAAAATGCAGTCTCATTTTTTTCAGTAACATAGTCTTCATTTCAAGTCCTGGTAGTATATGAGATAATGGACTTTATAAATGTTACTCATCCCTAAGACTAACAGCACTTTTTGGCACAATTCCTGGAATTCCAACCAGTGTAATTCTAATTCCTCATATCACAACTAATTATACTATTACAATGTGCTGTGATATTACAACTAACATTATTCATTCTAGTCTTAGTAGTTCTATCACTTTTATAAATGTGACTCCTCCTGTATGCATTATATTCTGAGGCTATTAACACTTTGATTACTGTTTAGTAATACTAAATTATTCCTCAGTAGGAAACCTCTACCATCAGCCACTATGATACCTACTATTAATTAAAAATGTAACCAGCAGTTTGACATTGCAACCCCAGTGTAGACAAGTTTAGAAACACATTCAAACTCAATAGCAGACCAGGGCAGTTACAATAGTGCTAGAAAAAAGGCAGAGACCTGGGGGCAAATTCTGCTGGGGTAGATTTTCCAAAAGCATCTGCAGAGTAGATCCCAAAAAGGCTGTACATACCACAACACTGAGCATTTCAGTGCTTGATTCAGGGAGGGACAATGGCCTCCTTAGTAGAATCTTAGATGCTTGTATTAAGTGTCTAGAGTAGGGATGTCAAACTCGAGCCTGCAGCAGCTCCTCTCATGACAAGTCTGCAAAGTGAATGGCAATTGCAGTGGTTCCAATGGTGGCTGCATGGGTCTGGGCTCAGGAAGCAGCATCTGTACAGCCCTTGCTTTTAACCTGTCACTGATGGCCATGTCCATTGGTGTACAGGGACCCTGAATTCTGTGACAGGTCACACCTGCTCCCCTCCCCACCACAGCTTCTGGTAATCTGCTGGACTACCAGTGGATCAGAGTAAACTGTTCTGCAGCCCAGATCTGACCTGCTGGCCATATATTTGACCCCTCCCACCCCCCCACCTCCCCAAACATAATGTATTATAAACAATGCTGTGAAATGCTTGGATTAGAGAAGGTTATACTTGTGGTTTCAAGATCCAGTGCAAGGGCTGCTAACTCCAGATATTCCAAGCAGTTCTTGCAATGCTTTTTTTCTCTTCTAGGTAACAATGATCTGTAACTTTTGCCTTTGGTGATATGGTAGATTGCGAATGCCTCTTGCATTTACAGGGGTTGCCTTGACATTTAGATTATTTTTTTTCCCTGAAATTTCCTAGTCTCTTTCTAGAACCAAAATATAGTAATACATGTTTGACATGAGGCACTGAGGGCAAGATAAAGTCTCTTTTAATCATCCCGCCCTGCATTCAAGCTCTTCTCATCCTAAAGGCATTCTCCATTGTGTTGATATTTTTGCATCTTGCTTATAAACCAGTCAGATGGCATTTTGGTCATTAGTGTTGAATTGTGAAAGGTCTTTGATTTTTATTTGATCCCTTCAAAGACAGGAGGTTCCTGAGTACCTTTTGGAATGCTAACAGTAGGCAGTACAATTTAAAAGTGTTTGCGAGTTCCAGTTAGAGACTATTTATATCTTCATTGAACTGCCTTAGAACTCAATGTCCAGCAGAACCCAACTGCATCCTTCAAAGGAGGAATTTTGCTCATCTGAAAACATCTGCTAAGCAGGTTCATGTGATGATAATTAGAAATCCTTCACATTTAAAATAAATCCGATCACATTCTGTCAAGCACAAGTCATGACATGCCCATCCTTAAATGGATGGATGTTTCAATTCAATCTCAGCTCTTTTTTTCTATACATTATTTTTTACATCATGTAAAAAAAAAAAATTAAATTAAAGGTCTCTTCAGCACAACACCCAAACTTTATTCTGAAAATGTAAAAAAAAAACCCTACATTTTCTCATTTTTCCCCAAGCTTTTCAGAATTTTGTAGATTTTGTGAAGCGTTGCATTTTTTTTTTTACTGAGTTCTTCTAATGATCTCAACTTGCAATATCAATTCATACCTTGTTTCTCATTGAGAATCCCACTGGACAGCACCAAGCACAGTCTTCTGTCAATCTGGTCCTTCTCAGAGTAGAAATGATCTGTAAATACAAGTGTGTCTACAGCTTGCACCCATTTCCAAGCACAAAGCATATATGCATGCTGGCATGCTATCAGGACCTTTTGGCCATTACTCACCTACACTTCTTTTTTTCAAAGGGTCTGTGGGTAACATCTCAATCTTAAAGATATTAAGGATTATTAGAGCAGCCAGCTTTTTGCCTGTGCTCCCAGTTGGCACTGGATTTATAACCCAGATACCTTGTTCCGGGTAGACCCAAACCCTCAGACTGACCACAACCTCTCCATTCGATAATAGGCACATGTTATTGATTCACAGTGATAGTAGATAAGAATAATGCAAACAATTCTATATCTACTGGTCTTAGAGCTGTCACAGAGGGAAGGTACGTCTGGCCAGTAATTAAGGATTATTAGAGCAGCCAGCTTTTTGCCTGTGCTCCCAGTTGGCACTGGATTTATAACCCAGATACCTTGTTCCGGGTAGACCCAAACCCTCAGACTGACCACAACCTCTCCATTCGATAATAGGCACATGTTATTGATTCACAGTGATAGTAGATAAGAATAATGCAAACAATTCTATATCTGGCACCAATGCTGCAGAGTCCCTTATCTCTGTTTGGGTACACTGTTCATGTAATGGAACAGTGTGGTACATGTCTTCAGTTTCCAAACCTGTGTGTCTGCTGGCTTCTCCCTCAGTGGGCCTTGAAGGAAACTTTGTCACAAACAGACTTTTAATAACCAATTAACTCTTGCTGGTCCCCTGAACCATTGTTCTAATGCATATCTACTTTACATACAAGCCAATTCCCAAAAGCAAACCCCTAAATACCATTTTCTAGGCATCAGTTCTGCTCCATTGGCCAAGGACTTAGCCCATGATATGAACAGCAAAACAATGGGACTGATGAATGGAGCAATTCATGTGCTAGAAACCAGAGAGAGAAAAAGGATGCCATAGTTTCTTCTCATGTATATCTGTGGAAATCTGAAGTTTCTCTACTAACATCAGAGAGAGTCACATGATAAGTCTCAAGACAGGCAAGCATTCTCTGGTCTAAGAATGTTCTTGTTCTTTCCCAAGTACAGAAGATAACCTGAGCTATGTCTTCTGAAAAACATTTTTTGGTCACTTTTTGTGCCTCCCTTGCTGAGGAAAGTGTTAAGAGACTACAGCACCAGTAAGCAAATCTATTTCCCTAACCATTTGCTTTTTTTTCCAGATGCAAAACTATATTTTTGCTCATGGGACTTCCTTAAAACCTTCAATTGTTTTATTCATGACCTTGTAATCAGTTTTCTTGTTCCAGTATATTGGCAAAAATACTTTGTTCATTGTTAGTATTTGCTGAAAAGTTGCTTCTTGGATCTGAGTTCATTTAGTCAGGTGGCTCTCTGCCATTCTCTGCAGAGTAGGTGGACACATTCTGACCTTGACTGTACCCTCCTCCAAAGCACCTGTTAATTCTTTAGCAATACTCCCTTTAAATTCGATCGAGATTTCTTCCCAAAGAGTTTGGTGTAACGTATATGAAGTGAATGTTTCTATAAATAAGCAGCCTACATATGGCAGTGAATAAAAATATGAGGATAATGTCAGAAGATATTTACTCTTTGCCTGAGGAACAGTCAGTTTAAATGATGGCTCGGCAGCCAGAATGTTCAGATGAGCTTAGCAAGCAGGATACTGAGCTGCTTTGACAATCTGGCCAAAAGTGCCTCAGTCAGAGTCACTAGTGGCTGACTGCTTTAAAAATCTGGTGCTTATTAAAAGGCCTAAGTGGAGGCTGAGATTTTTTTGAAAACCTGAAGGTATACATAGTAAGTATCTTAAAATCTACCCCCCACCACAGGCATGTATCTATTTATGCATGTATATCTATCTATTGGATATATCAGTGGAAGAGCTGTCAGCCCAGAGACATGGAATTTCAGAAAACACGAATGCTTTTTCAGTCAATTCAGTTTCTGTACTGCCAAATGCAAGCTAATCCACTATGATATTTTCACCTTTTCTCTGCAACCATGAGGACTAGACATTCCCTTTGTTTTATTTTAATGGAAGCAGGCAGTCTCATGACTCTACAAGCTAGAGTTTTAAGAAAAACAGTCATTGGGGATGGGTGGCATTCATGGTTTTGAAAGCCTTTTGTTCTAAAATGGATTAATGAAACAACAAAGATCTACAATGTCCAAAAAAAATCACATCTACCTGCCCCTCCCCCTCCCCTCTCCCCAAATAATTTGGGTCAACTGAAACATTAAATTTTTATTTAAAATTTTCTAAACTAAAAAGTCAAAACATTCTGCTATTTATTGAAACACTTGTAGTTTTTGTTTAAAACATTTTTTGGTTTAAATGGACATGTTCTGCAAACTGTGTCATTGAAAAATCTGAATTTCCAAGGGAAAAAAACTAGCATTCTGTCAGAAATTCTGATCAGCTCTCCACCAAATATTGTGAATCCTGTTATAAAATCACAATAGCCGGCAATGTTGCAGCCAGTAAACAAAGTACAAGTTTTTCATTGAACTATTTGCTTTAGAAAAATGAATCCATCCCATCCACTTCCAAATTCATTGTTGCTACTCAATAATTATTCTGGATAAAAAACATTAAACTTGCACTAAACAAAATACAGTATGACCTGACCTCCATTAAGTTTTTCCTTGGATAGAAAGCATCAATTGAAAACCAGAGTCCTTTATGCTGTAAACAAAATGTCCTGTTGTTACCAGATTTGTCCATCCCTTTGGAGTGCCATTGATTAGGGGTACATTTCTGGGGTCTCTCTAATTCGATCAATGCGCTACTTGTGTTTCTATATGGAGCTGTATCTCTCCCTTCTGCAAGTCCTCACCCTCAATGGAACTATCTTGCAGGACTTGGGTTCAATGGGGCTGGATTCCTCCAACCACCAAATAAGTCAAACACATATACGCACATGCGCACAGAGATTAACAGGGCACGCCTGAGCCAGGGCGGATTATTCAGCATCAACAGGATAACACCCCCATATGCCTTGAACTCAGTTCATCAGGGCAACAATAAAATGCAGTCAGACACAAGCACACGGCTTAAGAGAGTAATTTGAGTCAGGCTGGAGTATTCAACATTGACAGGCTGTCACCCTCATGTGCCTTGAACTCAGTTCATCCCTTATTTCAGCA